GGCTTCCCGATGCAAAGTGTGGGTGTGTTTCAACCTTGCGCCATCCTTACTATCGGAAACATTCCTAGGTTGCATACCACCACCCTTAACCTCTAAACCCTAAACCTAAACCCTAAACCCCAACCTCGAAACCCTAAAGGCCCTAAAGTTGAACACGTCCCACACCGCCGGCCATGTTTCGGCCGCTGCGCGCCGGGCACGCGCGAAATAGATTGTCTGGAGGCCCTCTGAGGAGCCATGGCTTGGGGCTGGGGCTCATCTCCCGAATCTCTAAAGACTAAACCCTAAACCCTAAACCCTAAACCCTAAACTCAATGGTTTTGGACTAGTTTAGGTCAAAGTTTAGGGGGGATTAGGGTTCAGGTCACGGTTACGGGGCAATTAGGGTTTAGGTCAAGGCTTAGGGTAATTAGGGTTTAGGGAACCCGAAAGAACCCAGAACTTTGAAACCCGAATTCGACCCAAACACAGAGCCCTCAGAAGGGGTCCCGAAGCTTCTGGGACCCCTCGGGCGCTCCAAAAGGAAGGGACGCGGCAGCTGCGCACTGGAGGGTGCTTTTTGGACGTCTGCTTGTGAGGCATCTGTAAAAGGGTCTTAAAGCACTAGGCATGATGGAAGGAGGTATGGGTGCTGGGGATTAGTACAGGGGCGATACGAAGCAGATGAACACAGGCGAAAGAGCCTGCAAGAGGGATCTGGGTTTGGCATTGTGGGTTTTCAGGCTGGAATTGATGTAGGGGCCTCAATAATTAGAATAGGGTTTTGGGGCACATTATACTACAATAAGAATAAGGAGCCCCCCCAAAATAGTATTGGTAATTATTTAGGCCCCCACATTAACTATAGCCTCTTACCGAAGGTTGGTCTGCTCGGGCAATCTCAGGATCAGAGATTTAGTGTATTATGGTATGGTAGCTTCAGGGGGCTTAAACTCCGCACAGCCGGCCGCGCTCGTGGTCACAAGAAATGCTGCGAGCTCTGCACGCCACCCTCGCCTCCAATCTTCAGTACTCAGTTGCTCAGCTCACAAGCCCCCAAAGGTTTAAACTTTCAGTTCTGTAGGAGATGATGATATATTTGTACTCAGTCCTAAATTTAGGATTTTAGAAAGGGCTCGTTGACTTCATGGCATATCTCCCCTCAGAGTCGACTGCCACCTGTTAAGACAGAGATATACTGCCGCCGCCCTCTTTCCTCGGTACTTGCGTTGTTCCTCAAGCCCTCCAGAAGCCCAAGCCTAACCTAGGCTCTAATCCAAGGTTAACGAGCTGCGGGATGACTGTCAACTCTGACACACCGTTCATAGGTCTCTGGGCTTTAATTAGAGCCCTGCATTCAATAATTTCAATTCGTGGGGGTTTCTGAAAACTGCGTGGCAGAGCCAAGAACTCCTGGCTCAGGAAATTACGTCGTGGTGTTGATGACCGGCATGACCTGATCACGCCATGGGGTGCTTTAAGGGGATTACTACTGTTGATGGACAAAATCCTGCATGACCCAAATATAGTATAGTACCATACATCCCATAGTTTAGGTATATAAGGTCATGCAGGATTTTGTCCATCAACAGCATCAGTGTCACCATAACGGCTTTGGAGGAGCCTGGTCGGGTTCAGAGTATGTGGGTCCGCGAATTTTAAGAGTCATGCCTGAATCCCGCGATCGACACCATGTGGAGTGAAGCAAACAAGCTCGTTGGCCCTGAACCAGGGAATACTCAATACTCTGTAAGTCGTATCATAGGTTTGGTTTTGTGACCATCTTGGGCTTCTCTTGTTGTGGCCATAATAAGGTAGGGGCACTAATCTTTAGAATATGGTCTTAGGATCCTTTATAGTATGCTTATGAACCCTAACGACTAGCAGGGGTAATTATTTAGGGCTTCCATTTTTACCCTCAACCCGAAACCTCGGGATGACTGTGGCTCTCGGGGAACTGCCACTTGCCAAGCTACTGACCCACCCAGGGGTTGTGTGCGGTTTAGGGGTGTTTTGTAGGGTTTTACAAGGTTTGTATAGAGCGTATCCACTTCTTCACTTTGAAGCCTGGCTCCATGAACAATAAGCCGCCGAACTTCACACTTGGAAGAAACGGATCATGCCCAAAAAGGCTAACTTATCAGTTTATGAAATGGGGCGTATGGAATAAGGGCACCCCACACACCGCGAATGAACAGGGTTTAGGGTTTCGGGGAACTTGGGTTTCAGCCTCGTGGGCTCAATTTCGAAGGCTTCAGTTTTTGGGATCGGAGTATCGCCTTTCGCATAGGGGATGGCACTCGCAGACGGACGGCTTGACATGGGTGAATGAGTAGAATGGGGTTTGGGGTATATATTCTCGCATAAATATTTAGGGACAATGAGGGGACATCGCGCTAACTACTCCGGCCCTCTAGTAGGGGTTCTGAGTGATCCCGATCGTGGACCAGGACACTTGCTTAAGCCCCGAAGTTCAAACTACCCGATCAAGGACCACTCCTAGAGCCTGTGCCATCTCGTATGGGGAGTGTCGGGGTCATGAGAGAATTCGCGTCCAGAGTGTGGCGACTTCCTTCGTGTTTCGAAAAGCTCCGGTCTTCAAGGAAACAGGTGCGGGTCTTATAATACGGAATCTCCAACTGAAGTTATAGCCTTTTAGCTCCCCTAAACCCTAAACCCTTAACCCCGGGTCTGGATCTGATTCCAAGTGGCAGCCGCCGACAGCCGACGGGCAAAGCCCGAGCTACCTCGCTCCTGTGGCCTGCACAGTTCGGGGTCTCGGGGCTTAGGGTGTAATGGTTGAGGTTTAAGATCTCTTGGTTTGGGGTACATGGGTCGGATTATAGTCCAAGTGTTCATGTCTAAGGTGTGCGTGGAGTTTAAGGTTCAAGATGTGTGTGACATCGTTCCTGCTCATGGACAGCTAGCAGTAAGGCAATACGCGGTGTTAGTGTTTCTATCCAAGGATCCTTGTTTCCATTGAGTCTGCTGTTCATGTGTCGTTCTAAACCCAAAACCCTAAACCCTAGACCGTGATTCCGGTGGGGTCTGGAGTCCCTTCTTTGGATTGAAGGGTATAGGAACTTGTACTGTCCTTTTCCGGCGGTGATTACAAGAGTCGGGATTTCAGAAACCAGGGGCCCTAATGAACTATCGTGGCCTGGATAATTGGAATGGGGGTTTGGGGTATGTTATAGTATAGTTATGGTTCTTAAATTCTAGTGGATACGATTACGAATCATTGCGGCCTAAGGGTCCTTGCAAAAAGAGTCACGATGAGCACCCTTTTTGTAGCAGCCCTGAGGCTAGGATCCCTCTGAGAATGCGGGACAAAAGCCAGGTATCTACGACGAATCCCGCTCCCCTCTTCTCAACAAAAAACGAGTGTAGCGCTTAGGATCCCCAAAACAGCACATGCAAGGATAATTCGTCTAGCAATTCTTGTGTCACAAATGGACGAAACCTGGACCCTAGACAAAAAACCTCAAGCTCCAAACCTGTACCCTAACCGCACCATCAATCCAAACCTCGGGCCTGCAAGATGCTTGCCTTTTTACGAAGACTTGCAACTACTTTCCATGCGTCAAGGCCCTAGAGCTCGAATTGTTGAACCCTTCCGCGCCATGTGGAGAGGCGGCCAAATATCCTGAACCTTGAATTGAATGCTTAAGCCCTAGATCCCTCAAAGCCTAAAGTCGGGGCCCCAAGAAGCAGAAAAGGATTTATTTTGGGAAGGGTTTAGGGTTTAGGGTTTAGGATTTATTTTGGGATATGTTACCGTCTGCTTCGGTTGGAGCCAGGCAGCTAGAAGGGGGTACCGCTACTAGCTATCCTGACCTCTCCGTCAGATCCTACTCCCACGAAAACCCGTAACCCTCAAAGCAACTAGTTCGGGCTTTTTGGTTGACCTTGATAGCACCCTCAAAGCATTGAGGGCTTCTTGGGTTAACCCTTGTAGAACCCTTAAAGCTCCAATGCCAGCACTTCGAGCCAAGGGGCGGCTTCTCTTTGCCGGTGATCGGGGAGTTTCGCTTCTTCAACTCGTCAAAGACATAGGATAGATCCCTCAGGCGCAGAAAGAATCGGAACTGAAGGCTTTCGCTCAATATCTCTCTCTCTCTCTCTCTAGCAGCACTGCAGCAGTAGAAGCAACAGTATCAGCACTGAGCTGTTGTGGGAGCCATTTCGTGACGGAGCATTCCTCTAGGTGCAGCTTTCTGGTTACAGCACATGGTATGGCTGTGGTGACCGCTGTAGGTACAGGGTCGTTTGGTGGCTCGGTGATGGGCTTCAGAAGCCCTCACGAAGTATCTTGGAACTCAGCCCTTCCGAAGTCGGGCATTGGGATTTAGGGTCTCGGGCTTTGGTGTTTAGGAATTTAGATTTAGGGTTTTTTCCCTCTCGCATGAATGAGGTCTATACTCACGGCGAGGTTCTATATGAGGCTTGTTCATTGAAATGTTGAAGAGTTGAAGAATGTAGGAGCTCCCTCATTTCAGGATCTCCCTGCTCCGTCAGTTCGAAAGAGCACAACATGCTTCTCAGCAAAATGCCGTTTAATTCACTCAGATCTTTAGCTCAAAGTCACCGCAAACATTTTGTCGCCATCCTGTCACTCGACTCTGTCACTTCTTTCCTGTCTGCCGTATGCCCATTCAGACTCCGCACCTGTCCTTTTTTGTTGTATGTCCCTGTAGATTCCACACTGTTTCCAGCCCAGCAAGCTTTTCATATTTCCAGACCATGGGCCTGTTGGTCTCTCCAGACATGTAGTGTCGCAACCAGAAAAAAGCCTGCTACACCAGAAACCAGAAACGTCATCATCTGGAAGGAAGCCCGGTTTCCTGTCTCCAGCATGTCCTTTCGCAACCTCTGCTGAATCCCAGGACTTCGGCCATACAAAAAGCCAGGACGGTAGTGGTGCCAAGACTGCGTTCCCGGGTTTAGGGTTTAGGGTTTTTAGAGCCCCAGGCCTGAGCCAGAGAGGGGTCATCGAGTTCCACCTCCTGCTTCCAAGCGGCTCTGCCGACAGGACGTCGGACAACTCGTTCGTGTGTTGGCTGTTCAGCCACATGGTAAACTCCTGGCCGTCGATTTCTCTTTTCAGACATACGAACCTATATAGGAAATTACAGAAGCACCCTCATTGGAAATCCTCAAGTCGACGGACCCATGCCATCAAATGGCCCAATTGCACCCCATCCTTGCAAAAGCGCCAAAGCCTAAACCTAGACACTTGTGGTTCCGGGGTTCATGAACAGTGAATAGGTTCATATTACGCTAAAGACTGAGCCAATACGGTTTTAGGTGCTGAAGTTTGAAGCCCCGGCCCATAAGAATGCAAAAGCATCAGAAGGCAAAGCAATATCTCTCCCCCTCTACCCGGTCGGGCACTCTGCTTCCTAAGCTCTGCGCCGCCTGTGCGTACCCTGCCACCGCATTCCACGCCGGGGGATTCGACGAGAGGGCTTTTGCCACCTGCGCCAAGAAGCATGATTGATAAGAAGCTGGTCTACCTTTCAGCCATACCCTATCTACAGAGCCCCACTGACCCCATAACGACCACCACAGACCCGAAACCCTGAACACCAAATGTTAGGGGCCGAACAGCTGCAGTGGAAAGGCGCTCCACCCCAGTTCTCTCATGTGCACCACTCATAGACTGTCTTAGTCTTCCAGTTGCTTACAGATTTTAGGGTGTCTCTGTGTGTGTCTATCTGTGAGTGTTGCGTGTATGCTATGATTATGCTAGCTATGCTTGTGGTTTGTCTTTGTGCCCACTGACTGCTATGGCGAAGACCAAGCTGCAGTCTCGAATTGTTCGGACATCCTGGTGCTCAGCTTCTCAAGCTGGTCCCGGAGTTCAAAGTGGGTCATCGTTGTCCCGGAGTTCAAAGTGAGTTGTCGTTGATCTCTGACTGCATCGCATTCACAACCCTTCGTGCTCCTTTTGCATCTCATCCACTGCCTTCTTCTCCTCTCGGAGGCGAGCTTCCTGAAGGCGAAGCGGCCTTTCCCTGCTCCCGCTCCACGCCATCAGGGAAGTACGTCTGTGCAACTTGTCGATCCCCTCCCGCCTTAATCAGAACCCTCCAGGAAGAAAAGGCAAAGAAATCCCGTAGGCTGTCGCGGGGGCTTCTCTGTGGAAGGAAAGATGAATGAAACACTCCGACCCCTAAGCGCCCCTAACCCTGAACCTATTGCCTGCATGGTACAGCCTTTGCGGTCCCAGTCGCATTTTGGGTCCCTGGATGCTTGGGTTCGTTATGTCTACATGTCTCAGTCACAAGCAAGCGGAAGAATTGTCCCTCTCGGAGTGAAGATCTTGTCTAATCAAAATAGGGTTGCTGTTCTGCTGCAGCAACCGAGGTGTTTGCAAGTAACACCTGCTTTAGACTTGCCCACGCATGAAGTGCCCGACTCCTAATCAGACTTTGCGGGTTGAAATCTTCAAGGGTCAGGGTTGAGGGCTATGCGTTGAGGCTTCGGGATTGAAGATTTTCTTCAGGCAAGGCTGTGGATAGAAGCAGTATGGGTAAGTAGGCAGCGTCACTATCGCCAACAGGGACACCCCCCGGCGCCCCCGACTTTCCAAGACAACCGAGCAGGCCGATCTGACTGATTTCCGTTCCCTGGAAGCCCCAAGCCCAAAATCGCAGAAGGGGAGATGTAATGCTTGAAGCAAGAGTTTGGGGTGCAGTACTACGTATACTGTGACTATGTAGGGATAGCACAATGGGATAGTACTACTAACTACCATTCATTCAGACTGCCTCAGCTGGATCCAAGGCCATCCTGGGGCGAACTGTGGCTTCCTTTAGGGAAGGGCTTAGGGTTTAGGGATTCGGGTTTCGGCGCTCAGGCTTCGGGTTCAGGGCAACCCAAGGAAAGCATAAGGACTGCATAGATATATAGCCACCATGCCCCTCAAATCCGAAGACGCCCGGCAAGCCCTACAACCGTGGCGCAGACGATTGAGGCTTTTCCGCACTTGCCGCTTCAGGGTTTGGAGTTTGACACGCGGAGCCAAGAAGTGGAAGGGGCATTTGAGATACAGTCGACCATACTCTCCGGCTTTATAAAGTGAAGGCCAGAAATTCGGACAACATTATCCCGATGCCCTTACGGCATATTTTGGCCCATCACGGCACTAATGCCGCTAAATCGCCAGGTTCCTACCAAAGAACCAAATGACGGACTACAAAGACGGACCTCTAGCCCAAGCTATGGGATGACGGACCGGACGGGAGCAGCCTTCAAAGTCCATCGGTAGAGTCTTCTGGGGTTTGTATAGGCCCTTGAAGTTCAAATTCTTTGTCCATGTGATCTATGACTCTCGGTCTTAGATTTAGGGCCAAGGGATCGCGGACTTTACTGGCTTAGCTTAGCTGCTGGGGCTCAAGCACCAAAGCCGAACAGCAACTAAAGCTTCAAACCATCCCACAAAAGACTGCGGAACACCAAACCGAAGTGCTTCTTCAAGTGCCCCTTTTTCAATTCCCAACTATTTAGCCCTACACCCAATGCAACCAATTCTTAACCCAAACACCAAAGCAGAACATGGCCCCTAAACCCTAAATTTCCTTGCCCCTTCGACACGCGCTCTGGGTTGGCCTACGTAGGGTTTCATGTAGAACTAGGCACGTAGGTGTGAGTGTGTGCGTGCATGGATGCACGGATGGATAGATGGACGGACGACGGGCTCATGGATGCATCTGTATGTGTGGTTTTCTGTCTGTATACACACGCATATACACATCTGCTTACACGCTGAGCTGCTAAGACCTGTACTGTGGCGCCAAGCGGCATGTCCGACTCCGATACTGCTTGAAAGGAGCCGAGATGAACCCAGTCATCTTAGTTGCCGGCATCAGTCGGAAGGTGAAACTCTGTTGTTTCGGTTAAGGGCCTGGCGGACAGAGTAATATACGGGTCTTAATAAGCAGAATTCAGAACAGGGTTGTGGGATATACCGTACAAGCCTAAGACAGAAGCCTTCTCAATCAGGCTCTTGTGGTGCATCCAGCCCTTTTTGGAAATAATGACACAAACTTAAGCTGTGCTCCGAAAGTCTGTGGCCCGAATCTGGGACGCTGGGCCTCAGACCCTAAATCTACGAAGTTCAGGGTTTGCGGTTTAGGAACCAAAATCCAAAGCTGTCCAGCGGATTCGTTCACGTGGTCTGCTGTCAAAGCAAGCAGCTATCCAAGTCTTGCCCGTCTACGGTTCAGCACCAACACAAGAGTACCTTTGACTCCCAGCATCATGATGCCTCAGATTCTAGCCTCAAGCCGCACATCTACAGCCCCAGCGCCTCGCATCCCCTCTAAACCCGATGCCAAAACCCACAAGCTCCAAAATTCGACGGCCTGCCCTCCCCAACATTTCAAAACCCGAAACTGTAAACTGCATGAGTCCTGAGGCTAAGCAGTAGCCAGGCCGCTCGCCCAAAGAACTTGCTCTCCGACCCATTGCTGGTTGCGATCGATCTCGCGAAAAGCAGGGTCCCTACAAAACCATAAGTTAAAAGGGGCCTCAATAATTAGAATTTTGGGGTACCTTATACTATAAATACTAAGTTAAAAGGGGCCTCAATAATTAGAATAGGGTTTTGGGGTACCTTATACTATAAATATAACAAGGAACCCTATAAAGGAACCCTAACTTTCGCGTACCGCCCCTCCCCACCCTTTTCTATTGAGGCGCCTACAATTAGGCGGTGGTAGCGGTCATGGGTGCCCTACAAGCGCCCTCAGACCTAAAGCCTGAAACCTGAAATTTCAGCGCACAGAGTGAGTAAAAACCCATATACCCCTAAAATGTAAGCAGCCACTCCATATAGCACTACTATACATCGAAGATCATGAGGATCTGGAACTTCGACCAGGCTTTTCTTAAGGTTGGGTCACCTAAAGGTGTTGGATGTAGTGCTTCGAATTGAGAGCTGACGGTGCTCTTCAAACTGCCCAAGGAAGAATGGACGTCAAACTTTCTCAGAACAGTGCAAAGCGATAGTTATAACACCTCAACAAGCCCAAAAGTTGGCTACGTAAACAAAGCCCCGTATAAACTCACCTTCCGAAACTCAACGTTGCTTCTTCGGGGCCTCGACTGCCACAGCGACCGCAACTCTGGGTGGATGCTGGGTGTACGTCTGGTTTCCGGAGACGGTGAAGTACCTGGGAGCTAGGATTAGGGGTCCCTCGGGGATATAGACCCTCTCAAT